GATTTACGGTACTATACATTGTAATTGTGAATATATCCTCTTAAAGGCACGAGTCGGGATTGAATTGATGCGTTATTTTGTTCAAACATTAGGCAAGGGGTGCAATGAGGAACATTAGTGAGGAGAAAAAGCAAAAAGCACCATAGAAAACACTAAATTTCCCTTAGGAGGCCGGCCGTAGTACGACGGAGAGACACAGCGCTGCGAGGAGAGGGAGAACGCGAGATAGTACGTCATACGCGAGAGACGCAGAGACCACGTATGCCGTGGTGGATTACGCTGGCAGCGCGGGCAGCGCGGCGGGCAAGGCCTTAGCGCCATTGCCGCGCACTTTTGGGTCGCGATAGTGTCGCGCCCTCAGTGCTTGGGGAGCCCACTATCGCACCCTGGGAAGAACTTCTGCTGGTTGCCTAATCCTGACTCGTGGCTTTAAACATATAAGAGATTACTATTATTGCTGTTATTATTTGCTATCGGAATAAACCCAAACCAATACCACACACTGCCTCACATAGCAACTTCCGATAATATAAGTGAAAAAGTTCCAATTGCAAGAGTCTATTATGGTAATGAGGGGATGGGAAAGATACTGACGACGGCAAGGATAGGACACTCGATTGTGAAGACCAGTGGCCCGCCAACACTGCAAGCCGCGGTAGACATCAATCGGCACCGGATTCCATTTTAGTAGGTCCGCCAACGCTACCGGCGTCCATCACCTGGTAAAAGGGATGAGGGATGGCTCAAACTAAACAATCACTGGAAAAACATTACAGATCAAAACCAAGTTAATCATGGAGCTGGCACAAGTTATCGACTAGCAGCTACTAATGTTTTTGCAAGGTGTAGAAGAAAATGGATGCAAAGCCAGCGATTACGAAAAATTCAAGACTATTCAGTTTCGCTGTGCTAGCGCTTATATTGTGTTTTTCACGTGTCTGTTCGTCCGAGGCCCGTCAATGAATGATTACACTGTATAGTAGTATGAATCGAGTATGTTATAGGTAATTGCGAAAATGTGCCTTTTCACATAGCGAACTTTTGAAATGGATTCTATTTGGAGCGGATCTCTGATGATGGTGGTAGGTATTCTGGAGTTTCTTATTGCTAGGAAAGAAGGAATTACAACCTTATTCACTGAGAGTTGTTACTTCACTTTCTGCATTTTCAACTTTGTCTACTTCAGGTAGGGATATTGGGCCTTGTTCCACTTTTGTACGTGATGATGAGGCTGCTAATATTCCGTAGCCGTCTCCATCCGTTCCACTATCTGATATTGTCAAAACTTGCGGCCGACGCTATAGAAATGGTTCTTCCGATGATGACGTTTTCGGCTTCGCAGCTACTGTTGTGAGTTGAAAGTATCACAGTCATTTTTTCCTTTTACTCGTTTTTTTCCTATTACTTTGGCGGAAATTTCGCCTATGGTGCCCGCTAAAATATTAGTTACGATGTCTTTACCCGATGACGGTTGCATTACAAAGTATTCGAGATGGTCACGAAATTTCCGTGTTAGTAAGAAAATAGTAAGCGGGATGAGGTTCTCATAACAGCATGTTTTACCGCTCTTGGCACACATCCATACTCCATCCTGGTATGCCTGGACTTGACTTGTTAAGGGTGAGGAGTACCCAAATTTTGACATGATTGTGTTAGTCATCGAGCGGTTTTCGTTCCAAAGATTCCCAAGATTTCTGAAATTGAAAGGTTTGACACTGCTGGCCGTGATTCTCAAGGTTGAAAAATTGCGCCTCTGCGTTCTCGCAGTAGTAGCTACGAAATCTGCATTTAGTGATCCGTGATAGTTTTTTTTTCAGCGGTCGCTGGTTAGGTGTGCAAAATGACCCCATTGTTGGCTATCTAGCGTTATCACTGCAGTACTCGAGCATATATACCTCTGCAGCAATGACCGTCAATCGACTCATTGCCGTTGTTTACACACATCAGTACAGTAAATGGTTTAACAAAAAGACAACAATAATTTGGATCATAGCATGCTGGATGATTGCATGGATTCACAATGCTATTCATTTGAAAGGTCAGTTATTTGGCAGCAGCTTTGAAAAAACGGAGCTTTTTGGATGCGTTCATCAGATGCTCAGGACTCGAATTGAGGAAAGTTCTGAAACGTTTTCAAATGAGTCAGGCTGTGGCAAGGACATCGAATTGAGTAGCACTGCCACAAGGAGAGCGGACAAATCGCGGAACAACCAATGCAATCGTAGAGACCACATGAATGGGAAATTTAAAGATGGTTGGAGTGGCGGAGGTTTCACTTGGCATTGAATGATAGAGGTCCTGTCATGTCGCCAGTTTTCACCTTCACGCGGTTTAGTTTTACGCCCTCCCACGTCACCTTGCCGCACTATTGGCATGGAGAATAAGCTCACGAATGAGATTGACTATTTCACGATTGTGATTTGGAGTTCAAGGGCGTCGATTAGCTCGGACTTGCGACTGCGCGGGATTGATGATAGTGAGAAGAGGGAGATTAGCGTTACAGTAGCTAAAAATTCCAAGCAACGACGTGTGGGTAGTCTAGGAGATTAGTTGCAGCTAATTACTTTTAGCTTATACCTCCCCCTGCCCCCCAAAGTCTTATATTACATAAGCTGTGATGTCGAGGATATTTGTATAATATTAGTCCGTCGCACAAGTCTTCCGCCATACAACTCTGCATGTTGCGGAATCTTAAGGCCTTGTTTTGAGAAATTCTTTCCAAAACATGTTGAAGCATAGGTGGACTTCCTCAAACCTATCCACCGTAGCATCTCGCGGCGACGACAGCACAAAGGTTCTGTGACTAGCATGTTTGATAACACATACGACCGTTCTTTATCGCACGATGAAAACTTGGCTACCTATTTCAAAAGCTTGAGGGGAAATCACAAAGCTTATTCGTCTGTTGAACTGAATGACGAGAGTCGTAGCTCACTGAAAAGAATTGCTGGGGCGACACCTAAAAGCTGCGAGAGGTGTTTTTGCTATACATTATGCATCTCTCATTATAGGTCGATAGTTTTCCTCAATATCGCTCAAAAAAAGTAAAATCATGGGACTGTACACTAAATAATTTTAGTGACCACCACCTTCAAAGGCAAAGAGATTTTGCAGCCATATTTCGCTTTCCCCTGCCTCTATTTAAAAAATACTATTATAAGTTACCTTCTTGACGATAATAGTAGGGCAAAATTTTTCAGAGAACTGTAGCTTCATATTCAATGCTCAAATGCGGCAGTTTACCTTCAGTGATGAACAGTGCGGACGCACACTTTCTCTTTATCAAGATTTGATCTACAATGTCACCTTGGCAATCATTACCACCTTGGCTGACATTTACTGCTTGCTGAAAATGACTTACTACAGAGAGGTTCTTATTTGGATATATTCAGTATAGTAACTGGACTAAAAGTATATGCTATGAGAATCTGTTCAGAGAACCGCTGCCTGTCCTGTGCCTTCGAGCAGAGAAAAAGCATGGTTTCTCCAGGTACTACACTTTTTAATTTTTTTTCGAGTTTGTCGGCTGGAAGCTGCATGATGAGGGGACGCTCCTTAATGCAATTTTTTCAGACAGCAACAAATTCGATTTTCTACGTACTGATGCTGGCATCATTCCATATTGCTGAGTGTTTCGAGGGAATTACGATACGCTTTATCCTCACGGTAATCGCGTGGCAAGTATATCTCGCATCAACACCGTGAGTCATTCGAGATATCGCGATTATTTCCATTGGCGTATGCATTGACACACTAACCATCAAAGAAGTAATGGTATGTAAGCGTAGTCCTCCTCATTCCACGCTATATTAGGATGACATTAATCTCCTTGCTTGCGTTATTTTTACGCACCTTAGAAAAAATCCACTTTATTACTTCAAAATCGTTGTCTGATGTAAATGAAATGAATTGCAAAGCCGGTTAGCTTGCACATCCTGCACCACCTCTTCAGTAACTTTTAGAGCTAGTCCCATGCCACACCCTTCTTCGCCGTCGACCGTTTCTCACACATCCTTACTCAAGATGGGATGGTGTGACGGCACGTGGCGTCAAATACACTGTTCAGGAGACAAATCTCGGAAGACGCATGGCTCATTTGTCTGTGTCATCATTAGTTTTTCATTCTGGGTGATTCGAGGCTTTCTTCGAGGTTCGAAACTCATTTACGCCTCCAGGTCATCCTTCGAATTACGCTCCACCCGATTTCCATCCTGCTCAAAACTTTTCCTGATCATAAGCTGACAGAAGAATCTACTATCGATCGTTTGCTTCAGCCGTGGGCCTCCACAAATCAAAACGAGCGATTTCGATTGTTGATAGCTGTAGCAATGGTAGCCTTACCTGCTGCCTGCAGCGTTCTTCCGTGGATCTGCTTAATTACTGCTGCCAACTGCTCAACCACTACTGCTTGATTACTTTTGCATATTTGAAGGGTGTGATTTCAAGAAGGGTTGGGGTCCCTCTCACACATGTTTCATACAGAATCTAAAAGAAGTACTCTATCATGCTTCAGCATTCCAACTCTACCGCTGCTAACCATGTTTAGGCCAAGAATTACAAATTAGCGCATTTCTAGGTACATAATCTTCTCCGTCGAGGAGGAATTTCGGACTCCGTTTTACAAGCTGTGCAACGGTCGAGGCAAAAACAGAGTCTCCCGCAGCTCCGTCACGTATTGATTCTGTGCAGTCGTTCTTCAAATTCATCGCTCAACATGTAACACTTGCATAATAAACATTTTCAACATACTGTGCAAATGATTACATGTCAATATCGAAAGACTTGCACGACGAATGCAACAAACACTAGGATTATTAGTCTAAAATTTCGTACGTCCACGTGGGGACATGTCATCATGATGCTTTATTTCTAGAACCCAGGAAAGCTCTCCCGTTTTGCAAGCTTTTCGTCTATGACCCATGACTAATTTTTTCTATAATATTTCCTTATTTCTTTACAAAGGTTTCAAGATATATCCAATAAATTGCATGATTTTTTGGGGATTTGAATAGAATGAAGCGATCATAAGATAATGGCGAGCACTTGGCTTAGATTCGCACTGAAATATCTCTTTGAAGACAGTAGTTCTAACCAAGTAAAACGGTAATAAAAGCGAGAGCCCCGGTATAACAAAAGTTTCTCCTTCTCCGGACTTTACATTAGCCAAAATTTGTTTGAACACTCGTGCCAATGAATTGAGAAGTCAAACTGTATCTCAATATGGCTTCTAAAATCATAATCGATTTATCGAAAGTTCCAACAAGTAAATCCGCGATAATCACCAATTCAATGTTAGTTCATTTCTAACTAGTTTTTTTCTAGCTAATTTTAGTTTTGTGATTCAAGCTTGCTTTCTACCGTTTGCATGGCACAATGAAGAAGTGATCTATTATCACAACAACCATTTTGCTTATAGATACAAAGATCTAGCTCTACAAACTCTACAAAACTCAAAAAGTGCTAAAAGAGGGTTATGGCAACTTTCATAATGTCAGCGGCTGACCATGTTGTTTCGTTTATGTGGAACTGTTACAATAAGAAAGCATTTTTAACACTACGGCAGAATCCTCCAAGAAGCCCAAGACATAGTCCAGCATTCCTCTTTCTAAAGACAGAAAACAGTTCCTGAAAGTATCTGTACCACATCGCATCGGGGTCAACCAAATTGTACTAGACTACGATTACCTGGGCGAACATCCACATAATCAGACTCTCTTCGTCTAACCAAACAACTCGGGATCAAGCCTAACTGTCACATACGAAAAACCTTTGGCAAGAACAATACAGGAAAAAATACTTGGGCTTATTTGTACACTTAGGAAGTTGTATATAACAGCGGAATAAACAGAGACTTGGGGATTTTCTTTGCCGAAATTGGTATGGAGCTTCGTTCACCATTGAAAGCTGTGTTAATGGATCATTAGATTGTATTCCCTATAGAATCAATTTCGCATCTCCCCCCTCATCGACATCATCTTCTTTTGTTCAGATGCTTGTCATAGGTAAGTTTCTAGAAGCTGAATTTAGATATATACCAATACTTTAGTGTCGTTGACTTTAGACCGTTTGTTCACATCTTTCCCAGGCTTGTCGCTTTACAAGAAATCTGGTTGTGAAACCAAACTTTCGCCCAGGCGGACTAACCGCACCTCTCGCTTCCGGGGCAATGGCGCTACATTGCGCTATCTGGGGATCCATTAATTTCAACCCCGGTAGCGTAATACTGGTAGCGCACTTGCCCGGAAAGCGAGAGGTGCGGGTTCTAGTCCCGCCTGGGGCGAAAGTTTTGTTCACAACCCAGCATTCTTGTGAAACATTCGCAACGCGAACTGCGGCGTTAAAACAGCAGTTAACAAACAAAACAAGTCAAAATTTTGCATATTTTTAGTTTTTTGTTTTGTTTCCGTGGGGAGAAACATCGGCATCGACCTATGACCGTGTTTGAGCCAAATCGTGCATATTAGATGTGGAAACATCGGGGATCCACTCTCCACGGTGCTGGGCTACAGTAGCGGACCAGGAGTAGGTGGGATGAGTTCTTCTCACTGGCCTCATTGGAATAACATTAACGTTTTAAGATGCGAAAAACAATAGACGGAGGCTTTGCGTAAATAAAATGCTCGACTTAAGGATTTAACATGTCAAACCCAGTCGTGTCAACCTTCCGCTCGGGCCCATTATTCGAACAGGATTTTCATGGCTTAATCAAATATAACAATTGCTGAACGAATCACTGCTGAGGCTGAAAATAAAGTTCTTCAAGGTCCTAATTTTTTAAGCACGCTTCTTGCAAAGAATTCTGAAGCACATAAGGAAGCAGAGATCTGCTGAAAGCACAAAAACTCTCAATGTACTGCTGGAAAACTATACGGGAAACAGTCGAACGTGTGTTGCTCACCCGGAAATTGAACTTTGAGAAGGATAACTCTCGTAGAAAGAGCGTATCCATCAACTTCTGCCATAACTACAAAAAGTTTGCCCGGTTATAAAATAAATACTTATGGCCTACTCAAAGCCAACAACGCGTATTCACAATTTGCGCAACCCCCAAAAATTTGAGACATGTGATTTCACGAAAATAACCTTTGAACAATCTATTGGTGCCTGCTAGGAAGAGCAAATCCTGCGCTTTCTTGCCATACAAAAAATTTGCCACAGAAATGAAAAAGAAGTGATTTATATCTGCTGAAAACCCAAAAACTCGCCTTCGCATGGAAATGTGCGTCCTGACATTTTCCGAAAAACGGTCGATCATAAACTTTGCCATGCGTTTCACCAGAAAACAATGGGAAGTTCGAGACTTTTAACATTTTACAGCTTTCTTGCTGTTGTTGTTGCTGGTGTGCGTCTTGTGGGTCTGTGACAAAAAGTACATCGATCGATGTTACGGTCTCCTCAAGCCATGGGTCCCTACTTAGAATTCGTTTTACACTACGAAAGTACTTTCCGGCGTCTTAGGTAACTCTTGTAGATTTCTGAAAGCGACCTCATGCACAGTAGTTCAAATCTCCTTCAACAACTCAAAAAAGTACGTTGTAAGAAAGTTGTTTCCTTTAAAGTATTTCCTTCTCCTTGTCCCCATCTCTCACCGCCTGGCTGATACCTGCCGCGCTCCAAGGCTAACGCCGCAACGCAGCCGCGCCCGAAGAGTAAAAGATGTCATGGGCAATAATTTATTTTAAATACTGAAGCATTGACAGCACACTCAGTTTAACAGCACTCTTAAAAGCCAGGAATGGTCGAACTGACCTTCAAGAGGGGGTCAGCAAGAACTCGGGAAAATATCGAATAACGGTTTACGTTGTTGTGAGCCAGCACATCCTTCTCACAATCGACCCACACCTTCATCAACACAGTTCCCTTCCAATATAAGATCGCCCCGCGGCGCTGGCGTGACGTTAACAATCAAGATATTTGGATGTTGACAATTATATATTAATGAAAAGTTAGCAGCATGAATTTTACGCCTGACGCCCAACTAAAGTGGGGATAAATTTGTGATGACACCATCACTTTCATCGACAAAGATCTTTGAGTCATCACGGTTATCGTATTAATGCATTTTAGTCTCAGTATATGCTGATTATGGAAAACTAACGCTGCACTGCCGTTTTTAGGAACTATTTGCTCGACCGCTATTCCGCGCATGTCAATGGCTTCATGAAGGTGAGAATAGCCAGCTATTGGGGGATTCAGTCAAAATACTGCCTTTCAAATGGAATATAAACTTTGTTTTAATGAAATCAATTAAAACATATTTTCTGGACAATTTGTCCATATGAAAATAATTTAATCATCATTTTCTGAACCTGTAAATCCAGGACCGAATCTTTGGTTCGATAATAATTACAATTATTCGGGCTGCTTTTAATCTAGCCCCACGTAAACATCTACATGCTTTGGATTTTAAGATTATTAGTCGTTCGAATATCTATATGCCGTTGTGAATAGAACCGCCAATATTAGTGTCGGGCAGTATTTTTAGCGGCTCGAATGATCAGCGACTCATGCGAATGATAAAGGTTTCTATCGCGCATATGATATTACTTAGTGAAATTCCTTTCAACCTCTTGTGAGCCCCTATCGGCTGTATCACTTTCTTTCCTAATTATTATTATTATTTCTTACCAATTATGTTCACATCTCACCCTTAATCACAGAGCAAACAACGATCTCAATGCTGGCAGGCATTGCCCTTTCATGTC